TCTCGAGACGTTTCATTCCGCGGATGAAAAGCGCCCACGGATTACCTTTACAAAATACACGCGGGGATCCTCGCCGCGTTCACGAAGGCTGCTTGATCCTTTCCCACTCTCGCCCCCTCCCCCGCCGCTCGCCAGAAACGTGGAATACAATTTTATGGTATGGCTGGCTTTTTTAAAGAAAGACGCACGCTCGTCATCTCTCGCGAACTTGGTCGAACGAGGACACGAGACGAACGCGAATGCAAACGAGAGGGAAAGAGAAGGGAGCGTCAGAAAGGGAGAAAAATAATATTAGACAGAGAGGAAAGGGTGCGGGACGCGGAGATACAGAGGACAAAACGTCTGCTTCTTTCTGTGATGCGTGAGCCCCCTCCCTAGAAGCCAGCTCCACGTGGTCGGTTAGGCCACCTCGGAGGGTGTAAATGTACTGACGGATTCACAAATATATGAGAAAGAGAGAGAGAAAGAGAGAGAGCCAGACGAGAAGGGTGTCGTCGAGCCGACGAAGGGTGAGACGGAACAGGAAATGCGGCAGAAATTCTACAAAATTTTAACCTCCAGACATCCATCACTATACGCGACAGCTAACCGCCTCAACCCCCTATAGATCTGCCAGGCTGCACGCTTTTTTTGCATAGCTTACCTGGCTATGTTTCGCCGACGGACTCGTCAAGTGTGATCCGTCATGTGAACTCGTCTCGAACGGAACGACACCCTCCCCGTGATATTGTGTCGTCGGCTACCGAACACACAGATCGGAACGTGAAAGATTTTTCATTCGAGAGTGCGCCGTTTAATGGAGATTACTCGACGTTCGTTCGATATTCATGATTGATTTGTTGCAATTGCACGCGGGAAGGCGTGATCAAACATCGTTGGAAAGTTTGAGAAAGAATATCGTTTGATTAACAAACCTCCAGTCGTTTTATTTTCCAAACTTTTAAAAAACGGGAACTCAAGATAACGGAAAAAAAAACCATGAAAAAAAAAGAAGAAAAGAAAAACATCTGTTGATACACGATTCGATCGTGAAGCGACAGCTAATTTAAATTTCAGTCGTTCGTCGTTTCATTCGCGGGTCTGGCGAATTGCAGTTTCAATCTCTCTATGAAAAGGGGTAACTCACCTTTAAACGTAGAGAAATAGTGAAAATAACAACAACAACAATGGACAAACGGCGACGAATTAACCCTGGAAACCGTGAATTATAATCCGGCTGCTTCACCCGAACCGTGAACCACCGTGTTTTTCATCCACCAGGTGGAATTATCCAACGGTAAACAATGCAAAATTATAATGAACGTAAAAAATTCACCTTTCGTCTATACGGTGGTAGCAGTAGACGCGAGACTGCCGCCTCTTCGTTATAGTGAAATATTCAGTATTGTTCGCGACGTTGCGCGCACTCGCACACACACACACACACACATCTCTCTCTCTCTCTCTCACGATCTCTCGCTCCCTCACGCACGTGCACATACATGAGAAAACGGAGCAGAGACGGAGGAGAGGAGCGCAACAAGGGCCCTCGTTGTCGATGTAAATTTTTTAAGCGGCTGGCTCGCGTGCATCCGTGCATCGGCCAGTTTAATTAGAAGCGAACGCCACTGTTATTTCCACGCTCGTCGCCGACACACAGGCCAACGGTTAAACGTTCAACCCGCGAACGTTTAAGTCCCTTCAATGATTTATTTCCTTTTCCAATTTGCGCGGCGACAATGCGACCGAGTGCGTTTCCCTCGGTGCGCCGCGGTTTTCTGCGACCCGCCGCTGCCGGCCTTTTGTGTCCCCCGTCGAGAAATTGTGGCCACGTAACATCGGCGAATTCATCGTCGGAGAAAGACAGAGGAAAGGGCAGAGAAAAAAAATCACGGATACAATGGAAGGGGGAGGGAGGAAGGAACAGGGATGTTCTCTCTTTCGAATGGCTGCAACTACGATGTTACTTTACTTACAATTAGCATGTGTACTGTGTTCGTTTAAAATGCGCAAGACGTAATTAAGACGTGGCTTTTGTCTCAATTCATGTTTCTTTGTACACGATGTTGAAATCCAGTTCAGAATGGATGGAATTTAACGAAAGAAAGAATCGAGTTTAATTCCGAAGTAATTCTGTCGTTGAATCGTTGTTGCCTTCGTCGATACAGCGCGTGATGAATATGTTTGTATCATCACTGTCCACAGAGTAGGAAACGGTAGAGTTACTCGTACGTTTAAAAATATATGGAAGAATTTATAGTTTCGTAGGGAAATATCGTACGATCGGTATTGATGCACGTTTCCTCGTATACGTGTGCGTGCCGAGGGAAATAAGAGATCGCGTTGTGTATGCGGGAAGAACCACGAGGGTGCTATGTATACTCGGGGAAACCAACTTACGTTTGAGGAATCACGAGCGGTTTCTTGCCTGTTGCACTTCCCGTGGAAATTTACTCGAAAATTTATTCCACGTAGATTGCGTGCTTTTCGTCGTTTTAGCAAAATCCGCGTTTGTTTATAAATATATTATTAATTAATCGAAAACTCCTCGAACCGAGATTAGCTGGTTATTAAAACAAGACACTTGGGATAAGTTAGAAGTTCAACTTTGAACGAAATCTTATCAGTCGAGATGTAACAATTGACCCTCTGCCCTCGACAAACTTTTCTTGTATCATCTACCACCAATTTCTTTACGAAGCATCATCACTTCAAATAAAATGACACAGTATTGGAAATAATCATTCATAATGATACTTAACACGAAGTTTTGTTGATTGTATCTTTCCAACATGTGATATCGTTTTAAATTTGAAGCAATCGTCAACGTGCATATACAAGAGTTAATGATACATAGTTGCAATCTCTGGAGAAATGATATCCTTCATCATTTTTCAAACTATTGTAAGAAGCAATAAGTATTTTAGTTTATGTGTACCAATGAGTGCCAATTGACTTGTCTTCAGAAATTTCTTCTTCTAAAATACTTTTATTCTTCTTACGTCGTTATCACAGCTTTCACTCTAGTCTGTTCAGATGCCATTATACATCACATCAACACGAAATGCATACGTTCCTTGTAATTATCAGCAAATTATAAAAAGAAGAAATCCGAGCTGTTGGTTAGATTTAAGTACGATATCCGAAAAAGGACAGTCGAGTGCAAAAGATTAAACGAACAATTAAAAATGGTAACAATTTGTTAGATCTAAAAAAAAAAATGAAGTTGCTCGTGCTTTTTCTCTCGAACGTTTCTAAGTTTCTCAAGTTTCTCCCGCCTTTTTTGAACGTAATCGACGATTCTGGCGAAGGCTGGAAGTGGCGTAACGCGTGCGAAATTTATGATTAGATATCGGTCGGACAGCAAGATACGCACGGGCATTAATTACATTCGTACAGACGGTAATTTCCATGGTAATTCCGAGCGATTTTTCGAGGCACCGAATATAACGTATTCATATCACGCGGCCGGCGTGTTCATCGCGTGAACACGCGATACATACATCGGGGCCATGATGTTCGCAATATTTGCCAAATATTCATAGAATTCTCCTTTTAAGCTCGCGGATGGATAGACATTCAAAATATTTACTGAACGTGCTACAAAAATATGGAATATATTTTTGGTCGTGCGCCGCGTTTGTTTTCTGTGTCCCCTGAATATTCCGCGACGCGAGCGGGCGCGCACGCTCGCTCGCGAGCGTAAAAATACATCGGTGCGATAACTGCGCCGCACGATAACAGTCGCGAATGTTTCTCTCATAACCAAACTTTCGGCCACTTCCCCCAACCCCCTCCACCGGTCCCCCCACGACTCGGCAATGACAACTAACCCCGGAAAAGTCCAAATTTTACAAGTTCCAAAGTAAACGGTACACCTTCCGTTGCACGAAAATGTGACTCACTGCCGCACCATCGTCGAACTTTCGGTATTACTGCACCGAACGAACGTGAACGTTCGTTTCCGTCACCGTCGCCGTCGCCGTCGCCGTCGCTGCTGCACGCGTAGAGAATCGCGTGAACGTTCGTGTGAAATTTTTTTCACCACGGGTAGTTCGGTGTGTTCAACGTTTGAAAAAAAA